TCTTTGTTTTCAATTACCTCAGCACAGATACTCAATGTTGTGCCAAAGCGTGCAGCATAGTGGATGTGTTACTGTGCCAAGCCAGGCTGTCACTTGTGGGACACACATCTGTGTTACGTGCATGCCCCCACACTTTATTTCTGATTCAGTATTCACACTTAAGAGTATATTTTGACATTTTTAATGCAAATATTCTCACTACTTGTTCCGATATCTAGTTGGTTCAACATTGTTCTGCTTGTCACTATTGTGACTGAATCACTTATGGTATAAACACCAGGTAAGATCTGGGTGATATCCCAGCTGGTAAACGGGGATGGAGTTTGAGTAGCTGGAAACTATTCCCTGCTGAGTGTAAAATAATACTAAATGCCTTTGAACAGTGTACTGCTTTATATTTTTTGGTCTTATAGTGGTTAATGCTGATTTTTGAGAAACTAAAATCTGAGCTTGATATTAAATTTGGCTTGGGGCATATAACTTTCATGAACAGTCCTGCTGTCCTTAAGTGTAACTTTTGTTTTCAGAATGTCCCTTCTTGCAGCATTAAATCTGAGCAACCAGGAAATGTCTGTCACTCCCAGTCATAGAGAGGGTTTTAAGTAACAGTGGTTACCCTTTGAATTTATCAATATTAAATTCTAATGGAAATAAAGACGTAGCAGTTCTTTTGCTCCAGGCCTAAATCAAAGTAAACTAAGCACTAAATTAGCAACCTTGAGTAGCATGCGGATTTCTCACATCTGAAAATCTAAAAATTTCAGAATGAAGGTTGAAGTGGTTTGGGTTGTACCTTTTTTTTGCCAGTCTGAGTGTATTCATAGCCCTGTGGACATCCAGAACATGAACTAACCTTACTGAGGAGCTGGTTTGTTGTCACAAGAAAGTTGGGAAAAGCATTTCAAACTCTACTATTTGTAAACAAATCAATTTAAGTGAGCATTTGCAAACAAATCACTTGAGGATCTGTAAACAAATCATTCCTTAGGTTCTTCTCTTCAATTTTGTTTTGTAATAAACTGCATAAGAAAAAAGTTGTTGCAGGAGGAGTGAATTAATATAATTAGTCATGCTTCTTGAAAAAAATGGAGTAAATTAGCGCCTTCATTTGTTTTACTGTTTTGTTCTTTGGAATTCCAAAGTATGTCCCCTTGCCAATCTTTTTTGGACTCTGTCTAGAAACTGATTTTTCAAAAGCAAGGATGTTGCTGCCTTAAGAACCGAATTTCCCAAACTGTAAACATAGCAATAAATTTTGATTCCTTGAATTGTTTTGTATTTTAAAAAAAAAAAATGAAAGCAGTGAAAGGTTCCAAGGTCATAATTTTAAAAAAACTTCCAGCAATAAAACTTGGTTATGTAAATGCTGTCATTCTTAATTATGACATTGCATTATTTCCATCACTGGATATCAAAGGTGTAGGAGTTCCATCAGGAGTGCGGGATACAGGCTGCATTAATTACTTGGGCTTTATAGGTTAAATGGGTAATTTTTATTTTTTTTTTTTTAAGGAGTAGGAAACTGTGAGGACTTTTGTTCAGCTGCACGGAAATGAAAGGTTTCTGGACATTTTACAGTGTTTTACTAAAACAGCAGTGCTGTGCGCCTGTGAGAAGTCCAAAGTGAATGAAAATTTTGGATTCCTCTGAGGCTGATAGGTTTGGGGATTTTTTTAGTGCCTCTGCCTTAAAAGTTACAACTTACAAAGTTGATTTATTGGACTAACACTGCTTTACTATTAATATAAAAAGGTTTTAGCATCTGACCTTAAAAGATAGTGAAGTGCATTCCTTTTTTGCTGATACTACTGAGAATTTGTCATTTTGAATTCAAATGCAAGCAATTGTGTAGGTTGCTTAAATCTGAGATTTAAGATTGAAACCTAAATCTTGAAATGCAGTTCCTGAGGCTGGACCACCAAAGCAGTTCTTTGTGTACAGAAGTACAATCAATTATGTAATGATAAAATTAATGTATTAACCTTTCTAAGCATAAGTCATCCAGAAGATTTGGGTTTCTCTGCTTGTCTTTACTCTTTCAGCATCATTCACTGCTTGCTCTGGAGCTGTAAAGCTCCTTTTCCACCTGCTTGCTCCTCCCCTGCAGGTATTGCGTTCAGGTGAACACATCTTAAAGTGAGTCCATCAAAACTGCATTGTGAGCTAGTTTGGTCCTCAGCATTTGGGTTTTAATTGTCCTTATCTTCACCATTATGGTTCTGTTGTCAGCCGGTGGGATTGGCACTGAGCTATATGTGCATTTAATATTACGTCCATTGGCCAGTGTCATTTTCCCTTTCCCAAACTTCATTAAATAGGGGGATCCCCTGGGATACTGAGGAGAGGCAAGTGGGAAGTAAAAGCCTCAGCTAAGGCTCTTGTTAGGCAAAAATTAAATCTTTAGCACACTTATGCTCTTATTTATGATGGTTCCTATGCAAGCCAGGGTCAAGAAATAACGTGTCAGGGAAGCATGCAAATATTTGCACATTCCTGTTTTAGTGTGAAGTAGAGTGCAATATTTAATTTGTAATATTGTGCAATATCATTGCTACGGCTAAGTGTTGCTAAGTGTCCAGTGCTTTTTATAAATCCTTTTATTCAGGGCTTCATAATACTGTGGAAAGGTTTGGGGTGTTTTTTTTGTGGCTTAAACTTGGCATAGAAATGGCCTCTGTATCTAATGTATTTTGAATTAAATTAAAGATTTGTTCTCAAGTTAACCGTATTTCACTTAAGTTTGTAAAATTAATCTATTTAGCAAGAGTAGTTCCTAAAAGAAAACGTAATCTAATAACCTAAACCAGTGTTTTTTAACTTATAATTCGTGGACTCCCATAGATGCGGATTTATTACAGAGATTATACACACAGTTCTGTACATCTTTTCTGAAAACTGTAGGACAGAAGTTTGTTGGTTCTCTCCATCGATGACTTTTACCAAGCCATGTGAGCAGAATTCTTTTTTTTTTTTTTATTTGGCCTGTATGTTTAAAAATGTAAAAATTTGTTTGGGTTTTAAGACACACCTGCAGCAATGCACTGAATTTTGATGAGTCAGTGTTGCAGAAGCACCATTCAGGTATTGTGCTAAATTAAAGAGGGAAACACATTAGAAAGGAAGCTTCTTGAATTATTATCTTGAATTATCCTTGTTTTGAATCAAAGCTGTAAACGGTCTGTATAAGGTCCTGCATCCTCAATATTGTGATCAGTGGGTTTGAACAGGACACCCCGTCTTTCTTTACCTTAATGTCAACAAGACAATAAAGAGATTTTTTTTTTTTTTTAATTTTTAATTTTCCCAATGTCACTGGTTGACTGTTAAAACAATTCTGGGAACTAAATTTCAAGTGTTTGTGTGAAGACATGTCCAGGTAAATTATTGCAAGTAATTGTAGATATAGGGGGTTAATTGATAGCAAAATGAAAAATCACATTTTTCTAAACTTTAAATAAGAAGCTTTTAATACAAAACTTTTTTAAGGAAGAATAGTATAATATAGAATAACTTTATTTTTACCTTTGTATCTAAGGTGTATGCACCCAGTCATCACAGAAGTGCATGGTACAGAACATCCATATGGAATCACAGCCTTCCTGCTGGATAAGCGGAGAGAATTCCAGCATGGTTTGGTGCCACTAGGGTTATTCTCCTCCTGTTTTTGGTTCAATTCCTCTGTTTAGCACGGAGGTGAAAATGCTATACTTTCTTTTGGTTTACTCATATGATAGGGAAGAAAGTTTTTAAGCTCTTGAGTTGTCCTGGGCTACCTCCTTCCACTTGTTACTGGCACAAACTGCTTTTGCTCAGTCTTCACCTCTGGTTATTCCACTTTTCAATCTGTTTGGATTTTTTTTTTTTTGTAACTAAATTGGAAGCCTGTTTGAAAAATATTGAAAGCTGAGTAGGTGCCAAATTTTAGAGCTGGGTTTCTGCACTGCTTGATAGTGAGTAACTGAATCTTTTCCCTAACTTTATCTGATGGTTATGCAGTGTATGTGCTATGCTGTCCTTGAAAGAAACCCTGAAATCATGTCATGGAGCCATAGAAGGTTTGGGCAGTATGCCTGCATCCAATTTCTTCAGCTTCAGAAAAGAAACAAAAAGGATTTCCAAACTTTTCCTAATTTCTAGTGTCAGCAATATGGAGTCTGGTGGTTAAGCTCGGTTCTTTCTGGCTTAGGTGGTGCTGTGAGTAATAACCTGAGTTAGGGTATAATTTGGTTTTAGGATGCCCTCAAGTGATAATAGAACCCTTCCCCCCCCAGTAACCCATTTAATCAGCATACCGTTATGCATCTTGACTAAGCAGAACTTGGTCTGGCAATTTGAACTTAGCGAGGCAGTGTTCCTCTCTAAAAAATCCTTCTATTTTTTTGGTTGTCAGTGCCCCAGTCTATAGGCTGTAACCTCAGAAGTTTGCGTTGGCTTCGCTGTTGGAATAAATAGGCACAAATTGTTTGAGAAAGTTGAGGCACTGCGGAGTGCCAGACCTTAATTACCGAAACTGCTCCAGGTTGTATTCTAAAGACTTGCCACCCTAATGAAAAGCTCCTGCACTCCTGTTCCCCAAGGGTGGCTGCAAAGGTAAAAACCCTCCCAGGCAGTTGGGGCCAGACAGGTTTGCTGAGCAAGGCACCTTCTTCCCCCGCCAGAGCGGTAGCGACGTGTGGGCGCCTTGCTGAACTGATGGACCCAGGCTGTGACTACTCAGATACTACTGGTAGTAAGTGAAAAGGTTCAGCTGGGCACTAAAGCTGAGCGATTGCAAATGAGGCAAATCAGCTCGTTATCCTCGATAGGACAGAAGGATGGCTTATTTTCTGAAAAGGATCTTCAGTTATTTTACCCTTGGCCGCTAAGCTTGTGATTAATGTAGATAATAACATAGATAAGTACCCACGTTAACATACTAATGAGTTGCCTGCCTTGAGTGATTTGTTGTGGCATCTAACTGCTTCTTCTCTTCCTTCCTTTTTGTCACCCTGCAGTGTTCTGTGCCAAGGTCTTTGTGGCTAGGCTGCTCCAACCTGGTAGAGAGCATGTGCGCACTGAGATGCCTGCAGAGCATGCCCAGTGTCAGATGTCTCCAGGTGCCTTTCTTCTTTCTTGTTGTAAATGTTATGCGTATGCTGTTGAACATTTGTTTAAACTCTCAGGACTCTGTTTAATCGAATTGTTAAGTCTGCTAAATGTTTTTTGTGCATCCTTTTCTGAAATCTTCTACTTAACTGCATTGTAGGAGTGAATCTTAAGAGGGCTTTCTGTACAGTAGGCTCTTGCGGGGGGCGGGGTGGGGTGAGCTTTGTGTGTTTTATTGCCTGTTTACTGAAGTTGTGATTGAAGTAGCATAGTTGTGCATGTTGCCTGCGATGTTTTGCTTTCTCATTTAATTTGAAAAAATAACATAATGAGCTTTGCTATTTCTCTTAAATTGCAGTGAACTGACTAGCCTGTAATATTTGTGATTTAATTTAGAAAGGGTAAGCTTTTTATTTTCTGCCGAGTGTGATCCTGGTTATAGCCTGACGTTGCACATGTTTGAACACAGAACAGTGAGCATGGAGTCCTGGAGCTCTTTGGGTTACTCTGTTAACTTAGCTTCTTAACTTTTAAAAAGCAAAGGTCAAGGGATGGGGGGCTTAGTCTGCATAGAAGCCCGTGAAATCTTAAGTTCTGTTTTTCTTCTAGTAAGCTGTTGAAACTGAACCTGCGTAATTTATAGATGAGGGAATTGCGGCTGTTTTTTCACTGCTTTGGGAGGGATTGAAAATGCTGAAAAGGGAGATTTTTATATCAGTTAACAATTTTGAACTCCCAGGGTCTTTAGCTTGGAAAGAAAATGCAGAACGTGTAGTAGTGGTGTGGCTCTTCCTGAAGTGTTTCTGAATGTGACATTTTTAGCAAGAAATAACTGTTATTCAATGTTAGTATCTTTCATAACATAATAACATTATTCAGTGGTTCAGTCTTTCATGTGTACAAAATGGATACTTAAAAAGAAGTTGTTTTGGGGAATGAAAACTTAAATTGAGTTTTGTTTGCAGTCAGTACATTTGAGTTCAGACACTGGATAACATGAATGTCTTGCCTTAGAGAGTAGACATTTATTTCAAACGCTCTCCTCTTGCCTCCAAAATGTGGCCACTTGAGTTCCAACAAATTGGAGTTTCAGAATTAAAAAGGTCTTCCAAATTTATTTTAAAATACAAACATGTTTTTCTGTTTGAATGCTTTATGTTTCCAAGTTTGAAATACTTGGAACATGACCACGATAAATGTATAGATGGATAATAACAGTTTTGTAGAAATTGGCACTACCTCGTGGCTGAATAGTGGTTATAAGAGATGCTTATAGTCTTGACAGGACAAAGTCACAGGGGTTTGGTGTCTGTCTTGGGAATACTTACAAGCTAGTTGTAGTGCAAGATCTTTCTGTTCTCTTTCCATGGTCCCCAGCACTCACCCCCTCACTGGAAAAGTAGAATAAAGCTTTCTTCAGTAGGAATCCTGGTTTATTTTTTCCCCCTCTCTCTCTCCTGGTACTTAACTTGTCAGTGGCCCAAGAGCATCTTGGGGGTTTTCAGCAAGTGATCATAGTTGTGTTTTAGAGGGTCAGTGATGCTGGGAGTAGGTTGGCTGGAATCTGAGGGGATGGGCCAGTGGTGCAGACCTAGGCTTGTAATCCTATGCTTTCTTGCTTGGTTTTTATTTCTCCTCCTCTACCTGGCTTTTGAATTTGTGTCTTATACCTAGCTGTGTTTGACAGTTGAACTATTTCAGGACAGGAGCAGTTCTGCTGTTAATGTCTGTCTTTTAAATGCCAGGTGTAGATCTTGGTTTCATGGGCTACGGTTCTTGGGGAGGGTGAGCTGCTGGACCACCACACAGGGCAAAAAGGATCATCACACTAGGGACTTCTGCAAATACCTGGTCTGGGAACTGCAAGGACTCCTTAATGATCAGTCTGAGAACTTTAACTGCCGCAAGTTTCTTAGAAGTCAGCTCTGGAAAATTCTCATCAGTTGTCACATTGCGGCAAATGAACGTTGTGGGTTTTCTTTTCCCCCCGGCTGAAGTTTTTATTAGGACAATATTGCAAATACAATCTATATATTCAACTCAAATAAAAGTAAATCTATCAGGAAAATTTATAATTTTTTCTTTGTTACAATATCATCAGTAGGTACCTAGTAAGTAACTGTAAATTGAACAGGTGAAAGGTCAGATCAGGCTGGGCAGGAGATTAATTGATGTAGAACACATTATATTACAAACTTCAGCTGAGAATACTGATTAGAGGATAAAATATGAAACCATTTGTTCATGAACATACTGATTTGCACACAAGATTTTTTGAAACCTGTTATCACACAGATGTTGTCATATATAGGTAAAAGCCATAGCTCATGCAGCTGTTTTGACAGAACACGTGTTGCTCTGAAAAATTTCTCAAACCCTGCATTGTTTTCAGAAATTGTTACAAATCTGTCAGCTGTCATGAAAACTGTTTCAAGTACCAGGTAATTTGTGTCAGCTTTTTGCTGCTGTAGGAATTGAACAATCCCAAAATGTTTTTAGCCGTATAATAGTAACAGCTAACAGGATTAACAAGTTTTAGTGATGAAGGACATCACTGCAAGAACAACCCCATTGTTCGTGCTGGTGGGATTGCTTTGTAGCTGTCAGAGCTCAGTGTGTGGAAGGAAGCCCAGCCTGTTGCACTTGAGTTGCTGAGGAGGGACCTCACCAGGGTGTTCGGGCCCTCCATGTGCTGCAGGACTTGTGTTCCTGCTGGTTGCACCCTCCTAATGGGTTGCTCAGAGAGTAAGAGGGATGACTGTCCAAAGCAGAAACCTGTGGGGCACGCTGCTTGCGAAGAGGTAGGGAGAGGTTTGTGGATTTAAATTTTGTTTAGAAAGAAATGTTTTTTATCAAGTCTAATTTTTGTAGAACTGCAGCCAGGAGTAAAAGATTTTGTATCTTTTAGAAGCATCTGTGGAAGATATTAAAAAAAAAAAAAACGTGGTTCTCCTTTCAGGCATGTGACTCGATGATGCCCAAAGGGGAAGGTGGAAGTGAAAGTGTCACCAGCTGGTTTTCCCCATTTTTTTATTTTTGGTACCATGACTTGCACTTCATTGTCTCCTGAGCTCTAAGCCCACATGTGAAACCAGGTAGGACGTATATACCAGGAGATCTTTGTTGTGCAGCATATACTCAATTAGAGTAATGATGGTTAACAGGAAGTTTAGGAAGGGAAACAGAGAAGCCCTCCAGTGATTCATGGAAGTTATCTGGGAATTGTATCTGTTATCTCTGTGTGTTGTATGTGCAGAGTAATTAGTGAATGGACTAGAAAGAGGAAATCTAAAATCTGGAGCTTTGTATAATTCCTTCGGGAGGGTCTTATTCAGTCATAGTGCTTTTCCAAACATTTAGGCTTCAAGAGTAATCTACCATAAGTCTAAAGGAAGAAGGCAGAGATGAGGTTTACTTTTGCCTTTGCATAATGTTCTTAGCACTCATAACCCCTAACTAGGCTTTTCCAAAATCAGGCTGTAGCATTTAAGCAAATATCCTCTGATGCCAGTGGATTGGAGGTAGCTTTCCAGTTCTCCACAGTTAGTCTGCTTTTGCATTCTGTGCTTTCTCACCCAATGAGATACCTTCATAGTTCTTGTGTTTTACTGGAGAAATATTTTTTTCTGTATTCTGTGAGCTGTTAGTGAATGAAGAAGAATGAGAAATAATTAATATTTTTAGAAATATTTATTGCCATTTGTAGTACTTGAAATTTGATCTCATCTATTTCAATTTTCAGTGCAATTAATATTATTTGGAAATAAAGTCCTTGGTGCTTATTATCACTTGTTACTGTTCTATTGAAAAGCACATATAAAACACCAGCTCGTAATACTTGAAACTATAGATTCTGAGGCCTTATTTTTCACTACTTAATTATCTTTAATAATGTTTTTGTGCCAAGAAGCTTGCCATGAAGAACACACTTGGATTCAGATAGCTACTGTTCTCATCCTCTCTGGTATAGAGACGACAGCAAGTTTAAAAGTGTACGGGTCTCTTCTTTAGGTGTTGAGAAACTGGTTCTATTCCCAGTTGTGTAATGCAGCCCTGTGGACACCTCACCTTCCATAACTCCATCCCTGTGCAACGTTGCAGTGGCTTTGAACGTATTTTGTCACGCTGGTTTGGGAAATGGCTCCAGCAGCCCTGTCACGCTAGGAGAAACGTCCAGTGTTCTCAGTCCTGTGAGTAAACATCTCCAGTGTGAACTGGAGAGCAGTCATTAAGCAACAGGAGATAAGTACTCAGACGTCGCTTTGAACTGTTGTGTAATGCAGCATGTGATGAAATCATGCTCAGGGAATAAGTTATTAGATGGATATAATGAAATTAACCTAGTAACCAAATACTGCTCAACCAATTCTGTCTTCCTTGTATTCTGCTACACTTTTCCTTCACTGGTTTTAAAAGATAATTGCACCTCTTCTAAAACGCTTTAGTTTCTCCTTACTTATTTAGACCCTGCCAACATGTTTTTTTTCCTGCATCTTTCCATTTATTGTCCTTAAAATTTTGAGTTGAATTGTATGTCACATCCTGCTCTTCCTTTTATGTTCACACGTGGGGTATGTAGCCTGGAAGCTTTACCAGAGCACCGATTCACTACATGAACAGTGAACTTCTCACTTCCAGTGTGAGAAGTCAGCATGTTCTTCCAGAGGCCAGATCTTCCAGTTCAGGTAGTGGCTTCCTCAGGCTCAAAGCTGCCCTGGCTCCTCCTAGCCCATTTGCCCAGCGGTCTGTAGGCTTAATGATAGTGTGCTTCACTTTACCTGTCTTTCATCCTTGACTTCTGCATCGTGGTATGTCCAGCTCTGTAGGTTTTCCTTGATGTGTGTTTTCATTCTTACACCACGTGTCCTGATGATGGACAAGCAGTAGGAAGGTGACATTGACTTAGTTCTTGCCAGTGTCATCCCTGCTTATAGGGTAACACAGGAGTGTATTGATTTACCCTCCATAACTTGAAGCTGTCTTCACAAAAATGTGGTCTTAAAAGCCTTTG